GTATTTATTGTATTGTAATTTTATCCTCACTGCACTTTATTCCTTTTGATTTGTGCCCCTAATGTATTGATGATATTATTTGTTATTTTGCTACTTTGTTGTTTTGTGTTACTTGTTGTAAACCACCCAGAGTGGCTTTGGCTGCCAGATGGGCAGTATATAAATCAAATAAATAAATAAAAATAAATACAATTATACAATATTTTCTATCAACATAGACTGGATTAGTATGTTTAATACAGTCATTAATGGAATGATACAAATGAGAGGAAAGGAGGAAGGTAAATGCTGCTTTTGCAAGTCCCTTTTGCAAGCAGGTACTTCATTCTGCCTGTAGTGCTGCTGAAAAATCTGAACATATACATGCTCCCATCAGTAGAAGCTTCATAGGCATCCTTCAGTCTCGAGAGATTATGGTAACGTGCTCTGTATGGAGGACTTGGAACAGTGTCTAGTGTTTTGATGCTGTACATTAAGCTGGAGTGCCTCTCCAGGGCACAAAGCCTAGGTAGAATAATATGGAGGATAGGCTGTTACCCAAGCAGCAAATCCTCCCTTTCCACGTCACTGAAATAGTCCAATGGAAAGGCAAGAGCCAATACATCTGGTTTCAGCGATTTCACAGGAGTTGACAGAATGACATGAACTGCCTCCGGGATTTCGGCTCCGGATTTATTAATATTCTTCATCCTATGAAGTGAAGATGCATTACAACATTTTCTTGCAAGTCCCTGTGGTATGCAGAAGCTGAAAGCACTTGTTTAAAAATTTCCAAAGGGCACCTGTCACACCCTCACGCACAAACATTCTAAAGGGGAATGAACCTCCAAGTGTGGTCAAATGTTGGATATCTACTGGAAAATAATATTGGCGGGGGAAAAGAAAACCAGTTGACCTGTATGAGTCCTTAATACAGGACTGGTGGATGTGGTGCCATCCAGACTTTATACTTGAAGCAAAAAACCAAGAACATTTAGAAGACAGCTATCAAAACCTCTCCAGAAGGATGGCTATGACATGGCAATCTCAAAAGGGTTTTGATGCTCTTAATACTATTTATTAGCCTCAACGTAAGCTCACAGAAAGTTATGGAAGTACTTATTCACGTGTGAATACTTTAGTTATATTCTACCAGCTCATGGTTGCAAGAATAAATGCTTCTTGGGCAAGGATCACCTCTGCTATGCGAACAGTGCAGTTGTTGACTTTCTGTGAGAGCACTTCAGGAAGGGAAAGTGTAGTTGATCTTTCTATAACATCAACAGAATAAACTGAGCTGGGACCAGGACAGTATTCCTCTTTGGAATGGCGTTTGTATGGTCCCTTCGTCGTATTAACTTTCTCTCCCACTAAGAACAATGTGCACAACAGGGAGCATTACAGACATCTTCCTTACACTAAAGTTATTGCTTGCATTAACATGGTTTTTGTCACCCTTTTTGTCTAGTAAAGTTGGGTTCCTACAAAAACCCAAACCGAAATATAAATCAATTGATAAGAAATTCTGATTGCTCTAATTTTTAAAATATGCTGTAGTTGCACAGAGCAGCTAAATTTGTCAGATTTAAATTTCACACATCAGTTCAGCTTTCCAAGGGAAGACAGAGTTCATAAACACAATGGGAGCCCCAGGAAAAGGATACAGGGCTAACAACTGGTTGGGCTATGTCCTACAGTAACTTTAGCTATTTAACTCTGAATTAACTCATATTCAATATGTGATGACTTGGATACTCAAGAAGGAAGCCATTAACTTAATACATTTTACCTGTTTCACTTCAAAAGACACAGTCTGTGTTTCCTCTTCTTCATCATCTGTATCCATTTGTTCATAAAAATCAAATATGTCAGCAGGGACATCTGGCTTACTTTGAGGATCTGTTCCTTGTGAAGCTGAAGGACCACAGCCACCTTCGGTAGACTTGAAAATCTAGAACAGAATTCAACAGAGTAGAGAAGGATGCCAGCCAAAAAGGGATTGAGCTGTTGCCAATCTGCGAATCCCAGAGGGGTCAAAATTATATAAGAGTCAATTGAACAGAGTATATGCACTCATTTCACACGCTAGCAAGGTTATGCTCAGCAGGCATCAGTAGTATGTGGACCGAGAACTCCAAGAAGTACAAGCTGGGTTCCAAAGAGGCAGAAGAACTAGAGACCAAATTGCTAACATACGCTGGACTATGGAGAAAGCCAGAGAGTTCCAGAAAAACATCTACTTCTGCTTCATTGACTACGCAAAAACTTTGACTGTGTGGACCACAGCAAACCATAGCAAGTCCTTAAAGAAATGGGAGTGCCTGACCATCTTATGTATCTTCTGAGAAATCTATACATGGGACAGGAAGCAACAGTAGAACTGGATATGGAACAACTGATTGGTTCAAAATTGGGAAAGGAGTACGACAAGGCTGTATATTGTCCCCCAGCCTATTTAACTTATATGCAATACATCATGCGGAAGGCTGGACTGGAAAAATCCCAAGCCGGAATTAAGATTGCCGGAAGAAATATCAACAACCTCCGATATGCAGATGATACCACTCTGATGGCAGAAAGTGAGGAGGAATTAAAGAACCTCTTATTCAGTGTGAAAGAGGAGAGTGCAAAAAACGGTCTGAAACTCAACATCAAAAAAACTAAGATCATGGCCAAAGATCCCATCATCTCCTGGGAAATAGAAGGGGAAGATATGGAGGCAGTGACAGATTTTACTTTCTTGGGCTCTATGATCACTGTAGATGGAGACAGCAGCCACGAAATTAAAAGACGCCTGCTTCTTGGGAGGAAAGCGATGAGAAACCTTAACAGCATCTTAAAAAGCAGAGACGTCACCTTGCTGACAAAGATCCGCATCATCAAAGCTATGGTTTTTCCAGTAGTGATGTATGGAAGTGAGAGCTGGACCATAAAGAAGGCTGACCTCCGAAGAATTGATGCTTTTGAATTGTGGTGCTGGAGGAGGCTCTTGAGAGTCCCCTGGATTGCAAGGAGATCAAATCTATTCATTCTGAAGGAAATCAACCCTGAGTGCTCACTGGAAGGACAGATCCTGAAGCTGAGGCTCCAATACTTTGGCCATCCCAGGAAAAGAGAAGACTCCCTGGAATAGACCCTGATGTTGGGAAAGAGTGAAGGCAAGAGGAGAAGGGGATAATAGAGGACAAGATAGCTGGACAGTGTCACCGAAGCTACCAACATGAATTTGACCAAACTCTGGGACCAAACTCCTGGAAGACAGGAGGGCCTGGCGTGATCTGGCCCATAGGGTCACAAAGAGTCGGACACAACTTAACGACAACAACAATATGCATCTAGTAAACTAACCCTCAAATATGACTGTTTGACAGGAACTTGGGCATGAAATAATAAACAGAGCAAAAGCAGCAGAACCTGTCCCCTGCTTTCCTAACAGTTATCTCTGATGTTTCAGCTGCACCTGAATATTCAAATCAGGTAAGTATAGCAGGGAGAGAAGCCATAAGAGAAACACAGATAAGCCTTGATCAGTTATAATAAAGTAATAAGGAAAGAACAAAATCATTGTATAATGAACCACTGCCTCAACCTACAGCTGATTTGCTTGTAAATGTTTCTGTAATGAGTTCCGTTTCTTCTCCTTCTGCATTTCTAAGCCAACAGTCTCTAATGACTGGATCCTGGGTTGGTGCTCTCTACAAAATACCTGTTGTGCTGAAGAATTATGGAAAAGAAATGCAAAGATGACATCGAAGAAGAATCTTGTGATGAAGAACTTACAATTTTAGAAAGTAAAGTGAAAGGTGTCCTGAAAACAGTTGGAAAAATAAATCACCACGAGTAGATGGGAAACCAACACAACTGTTTCAAGCTAGAGAGACTAAATCTATCAAAATCCTAACAAAAATATGCCAAAAAATATGGAAAAAGCAAAGAATGGCTCATGGCCTGGAAGTGTTCAACACACATTCTACTTCCCAAATAAGGCAATGTCAAGAAGTATAGTAACTACTGGACCACTGCATTAATCTCCCATCTGATGCTCAAGGTATTACAGCCAAGACTTTTACCCTAACATGGAGCAAGAAATGTCAACTGTTTTGCTTGATTTTGAAGTGGAAAAGAGAAATATACATTGGCCGCATGAGCGTAACCAGAATTTTAAAAGATTAGACTGTGCTTTATAGATTACAGCAAAACCTTGGACTATGTGGGTCATATGGACTGTTCTAAAAAAATGGGCATGCTTCAGCAATTGACAGTACTGATGTGCCACATATACTCTGGACAAGAAGCTACAGTTAGGACAGATTACAGAAAGAGAACAGTTTTCCTATAGGAAAAGGTCAGACAAGGATGTTATTTTATTTTTTAATTGCTTAATCTCTTCACAGATTATAATCATATGGAAAGCTGGACTATATTCAGATGAAGGAGTGAAAATTGGTGGAAGAAATATAAATTAAGATACACAGATGACACCATATTATTGGCAGAAAGCAGAAATGACAGAAACAGTCAATCTGGAAGGCAGAGCTTCCCTTTCAGGAGCTGTTGCTAAAATACCACCTGTTTGGCAAGTGAACTAAAATGGCAGAAGCTACTAATCTTAGTAGTTCCAGCCACCATTTAAAACTATTTAAGACAGTGGTTCCCAAAACATAGATGCAACATTTTAGTATCATTTTGCAAATGTATGCCTAGTTAAATCAATGAAGACTTAATTTCAATTTTCAGGCAACTTTACCTTATTACAACTCTTCTTCTTCCATCTATGACAGCAGGTTATCTAAACAAGATATAGTTATATCGGACCTTGTGGCTTTGTACATATATCCATGCACAATCTCTTGATAAAATTTGATCTGAGACAGAGTTGCAAACAAATCAGCAGAAACCTGTGCCCAGTATGTAGTGAGCCCACTAGTCTAGACTGCTAGTCAGGACTATTTGAAAAGTGTAACAGTTCACATTCATTTGGCACTTCCATTCATAACTTAAGCAACAAACCACAAAAAACCTTCTTTAGTGTGTATATTTAGCTGCCTTTACAGACCTTTTCCATTATTTAATGAATGAATAACTGTAAAAAAGTTTTCCAGCAGCAGAATTAGTACAATCTGTGCAATAGCAATACGGGGTTTTGGCAACTGCACATAATAAACTCAGGTGTCTTCTTTTAAAAGCTAATTATAAAGACATGAAACGTTTGTCCACTTTCCTTGCTTTAATCTCCCCATCCCCACCTCCACAATTTCTAAGCAATGGTAATAATATTTGGGAATGCAACTTTACATTACAAGGACATCAATAACTCATTACCTGGGTGGGAAGAGCTTAACACAGTTAAGTATTTAAAAAAATCTGTAAGGCACAATCCACTAGGAATATTTTCTGCACCAGCCACTTGAATTTTCATAATTACAATTAATCTATAAGAATGTCTGTGCAGAAAAAAATACTGGTAGATTGTCCTCTCAACAGATGACCACTTGTTGTGAAATAAGACAGGATCAAACTCATGAGATTTCACAGTGCAAGTCCTCACATTTCATTACAAAAGACTTTTGCTGTTAAACACTAGAAGAAATCAGCAATTTCTACAGCTTCAGTACATGATTACAAACCACTGCAATGCTATAAATTGAATCTGCAAATCTGAGAGAAAAACAGAAATCTAGTTTTATCAGACAGGCTGGGGTTACTGAATAGGGTAAAGTTCTGAACTCTGCCACATTAGAAGACACATTACCCATTTATCCCCAATAAAATGCTAAAATTAAGATAGAAATAAGTTGGAAGTACAGCTTGCCCATATATAACCACCAATTATGGGATGAACTCAGGAATACTGAAGAAATGTTTTTTGTTTTTAAAATGACGAAGTCTTTATATTGTTCATCCAACATTTTGGCAAAATAGTAGTTATGACCTATTCAGCATAGTTGCGTGCAAATGTCAAAGACCAAGAATATTTCAGTATGTCTTTAAATTTCCCTTTTTAAAGAATGGCTAAAGGCCTATGTCTTCATAATGAGCACCAAAACTGAAGCCACTTGGGAAAGGCAGGCAACTTTGGCTGAATTTCAATGAAAATTAGCCACTTGAAAAAGCTGGTAAGTCTGTAGAGGGAGTGTTGCTGGAAGCAACATCAGGAGGTAAATTCAGAGTAACCAGACAACTATCAAGTAAAGAGATTATAACCAAATGAAAAAATTGCTGACAATTTCTTAGCATTCATATTGTTGCTTTCAAAAATCATCCCTTTCAATGCACATAGATTAGATGGACTTCAACTCTTAATCAAATTCTGCACTTTCAAAAAGGCTACTACGTGAGTGGAAAAACTTATTGGATCCAAGTTTCTCATTCATCCAGTCCTCTCCCTTTGACAGCAAATGTCTTGTTAATTCTGCAGCCTAAATGTATGTTTCTTTAAAGGTCACAATAAGCAGCATCTTTCTTTAAAACTCTTCTTGTTCTTGCCACTTTTCTTGCCATTCTTATCCTTGTTTTCTGACATCTTCTTAGCTCTAATCTCTCTCATTAGATCAAAGAATACCTGAAAAGAAAGGGAAACTATACAATAATATCAAGGCTCAAAATACAAAGGAGCAGCATCTTAACTGCTACTTTAATTAGACTTGAAGTGTAAAACCAAGAACATTATGAGAATAGATGTTCAGCAGATTTGTGTGAAATATTAAAGGGTTCATCAAAAGTAGAAATGGGCTATTCATATCCCTGGGAATACAAATATGAAGAGCAGCACCACAGAGGCCCATTCCCTTCCCCCCAGAATCAACCAGTCCACTCACTGTTCACAACAGAGCGCCTTTCTCTGTCGTTGCCGTACCAATCGCAGAATGAGTCCGGCCAGCACACAACCAACCACTGCGGCGCAGAGGGGAGACAGGGAGTCTCCCTGCTCAGACAATGAATGGTCAGATTTGTAGGGAGGTGGGGAAAGAGCCACCCGGGCTCTTTCTACGATTGGTGCAGTGATAACAATGGAGCTGAGCACCTTGCTGCAAACAGTGAGTGGACTGGCCAGTTCTGGGGGGAAGGGAATGGGCCTCCATGGCACCTGTGGTGCCACTATTTGTATTCATATCCCTAGGGATACAAGTATAAATTTTATTGTTGTTTAGTCATTAAGTAATGTCTGACTTGTCGTGACCCCATGGACCAGAGCACATCAGGTCCTCCTGTCTTCCACTGCCGCCCGGAGTTTGGTCAAATTCAGGTTGGTAGCTTCGATGACACTGTCCAGCCATCTCGTCCTCCGTCATCCCCTTCTCCTCCTGCCCTCACACTTTCCTAACATCAGGGTCATTTCCAGGGAACAAATACCAATAGCCCATGTCTAATCAAAAGTAACTTATGTGAATTTTAACAAAACATTCTTACATAAGGATTAGAATATAATACAGCACAGATTATAGGAGCTCTTTGAGAATGCAACAGGTGAAGTTTTCTAGGAAGCATTAACGGATGACGAAGGCTACATCTACATTTACATTAACCCAAAGTAGCTGTATATAACTTGAAGAACTTGAATTTACAGCAATTCAATAATACTACATTCTCAGAATTAAGACTGAATTTGCCAAAGACACATGATAAAAATCCTTACCTAAAGCACAGATGATTTCAAAAGTGCATCCAAGACTTCAGCTGAAATCCTGGTCCAGGAACTGCACCTGTTTAGCCTCATTACATCATCAGTAGATATTGTTTTTTGGAAATTAAACATTTCTTAATTCTGTCTCTCAGCACCTATGTAATCTCTTTCATTATCTGGAAGACTCAGACAGAGGAAGTCTTTGATTACTGAGAATTGTTGCCAGTAATATCATCTTGGCAGTGGCAATTTTTAGTATCTAATGCATTCCCCTCCCGTGTCCTGTGGCTTCCTTGGTTTCCCATGGTGAAAGTAAAGGTGAAGGTTACCCTTGACAATTTGTCCAGTCGTATCCGACTCTAGGGGGCAGTGCTCATCCCCTTTTCCAAGCCATAGTGCCAGCATTTGTCTGTAGACAGTTTCCGTGGTCACGTGGCCAGCGCACTAGACACGGAACGCCGTTACCTTCCCACTGTAGTGGTACCTATTTATTTACTTGCATTTTACATGCTTTCGCACTGCTAGGTTGGCAGGACAAAGTACGAAGTGTTTAATTTCCAAAACAATCATCACTGTGATGTCATCAGCCCTACATGGGCACAAGCACACAAACAGAGTGTCAACCACTGTGGCTGTAGCATCGATGATGAACAAGCAGTGATCAAAACAACTGAAAGCTCCAGGTAGTTGGCAACACCTTTGCTATTCCTTACAGAGGTATAAGGAAACAAATAGCCCTTAATTAAATTCATGGTAGACCTTGGTACTTAAGTGGTCTTCTGCAAGATGTTTCCAGAAGACAGATATTAATGTTTAATTGAATAAATTACAATTTGGGGAATAATATAAAAAGGAAAGGAACAACCAAAGAGTGAATTCTCCTGTCTTCATTAAAAAATTTCAAGTTTATTAGGCCTTGCTTCACGTTTTCCAATGGGATCACTGTGCTGGATGGCTATTACTGTGGCTACTCTGAAATCCTCTGAAACATATTGAGAACTCACAGTCTTTTGTTTGGTGCATTCATCAACAGCTGCAGTCATTAGGGACAAATTCCTGGCTGCCCAATGCAACTTGGCAGCCAGGTTTGTGGAATGCAGGTGAAAACAAAGTGTTGCTTTACCTTATCCACATTTGCTCTGGTTTTTGCCGATGTCTCTACATATTGTACACCCCACTCCTCTGCTTTACTTCTAGCTGCTTCGACAGGCACTTGTCTACGATCTTCCAAATCAGATTTATTTCCCACCACAAGTAAAGGTATTTTGTCCTCTTCAGCTTTCACACGTAGGATCTGCTCCCTAGTAATGCAGATTTTTTTTAAAAAAAAAAAAAGGTGAATGAGATGCTATAACAGTCATTTCCCACAAGAACAAAACATACATACATGCAAGCCACAGTATTTTAATAACAATAATTTTAAAATACACCTCAGTAGGACAACTTTTACAGATGTAGAATTGAAAAGAAGCCAATCCCATCACTGGTCCAACTATGCTAAATAAATGGCAAGTGCGGGTTTTTCTACGCGTAAAAAGTAGATAGTTTTACCTTCCAATTATCTTATTCATTCAAATAAATTCTGGCTGAAATCCTGTCATTGTGTCATAAGTTGCACTAGAGTAGGCCCACTGAATCAGTGGGATTTTGTGAGTCAACTTCACTGTAAGTTCCATAGATTCAAGTGGGCCTTCCTAACTGGAACTTATTATGCTAAATGAAGTTAGAATCAGCATATGCCCATTTGAATCCTTGGAACTTCCAGAGGAGTCCACCATATCCCCACTAGTGCAATTTACTATGCTAGGCAACAGGATTTCAGACAATGTACTCATTTTTAAGTTAACTAAGACGTGGTGGCGCTGCGGGCTAAACCGCAGAAGCCTGTGCTGCAGGGTCAGACCAGCAGTCGTAAGATCGAATCCACACGACAAAGTGAGTGCCCGTCGCTTTGTCCCAGCTCCTGCCAATCTAGCGGTTCAAAAGCATGCAAATGCAAGTAGATAAATAGGGACCACCTCGGTGAGAAGGCAACGGCGTTCCGTGTCTAAGTCGCACTGGCCATATGACCACGGAAGATTGTCTTCGGACAAAATGATGGCTCTATGGCTTGGAAACGGGGATGAGCACCGCCCCCTAGAGTCGAACACAACTGGACAAAAATTGTCAAGGGGAACCTTTACCTTTACCTAAACTAAGATTACAAAAGGAAGATTTGTCACATCTACAAGTTATAATAGATGAAAAAAAGTTCCTTTTCACCTCTGAAAATGATTTATTCTGAAAAGTGTTTTGACAGAGCATACCTTCATTCATACTTCCATTTTAAATGGCTATCTGTTAGCAACTGAGCATTCTTCAGGATTATGCTGTTAATTGATAAGGTTCTGAAGAGCTTGGGCCTAGGACACCTACAGAATACCTTCCCTTGCTAAATGCCTAGATGTCTAGTCTCCTCGGGATCTTCACTGGAGACCTTATTGGATGCCTCACAGCCAACAGAAAGCAGCCAATTAATGTCATAAATGCAGGTCTTTTTAGTGATGACATTCACACTTTGAGAAACAATCTACCCTACATATTCTGAGACACAAAAACTGTGCGAAGTTTTAAACTGCAAAAATATGCATATTTGTTTGGGCACTGCCTTGTTGGAAACAATTATGTTCCTTGCCCCACTGGTATATTGCTGCTGACAAGGCTTTTAAAAACCAGTTTATTTTACTATTCCTTTTAAACTATTTTATCCTCCTTTTTAATTCTGCATTCTATATGCTTTAACCATAACACTTTGTGACATCATTGCATTAAACAGTAAAAAAAAATGACCAATACAAATTATTTTATTGATAGTATTTTTCCTGCCCAAAAGATGTCCAAGGAGACTTTTTAAAAAGGAATATTGCTACAGAAATATAAGATAGAAAAACAACTACTAAGCAGAAGGGATAATACTGTTCTATAAGATTTCACAATGAGCACCATGGGAAAAGATTGCTGTTCCCTCCTCCTCTCTTCCCAGGTAGCCACTTGCATCTAAAATAGTTTTCTCAGGTGACAATCTGCTTTTAACAGCTTTGAATGACTGACATACATACACACCTCTGAATCAAACAATAGCTTAATCTGGAGGGAGGGCGAGGGAAAGACTAGTGCCCCTCTATTTCCTTATGGCACAGTACATACATGTACACATTTATTCATCCTCTTAACTAAAATGAGCATTTTAGATTGGCAGAATACTCAGTATTACACCAAGTGACAGACAATGTTGTATTCAGTCAACGACATTCACACGTAAAAGTACATTTGAACTGAAACCCAGTCAGGGTATACTTCAGGTATTCTTTTCCAAAAATAAAGATTTTCTTCTTCCCCATCAATTTATTTTTAAATGCTGTCAAGAAGAGGCAAACAAATAAAATAATGCAATAATGTTACTGTATTTTGTAGCATAATGCAATACAGTATAAGTATGTATACAATCACTTATATAAGGATTAGACGTTAAGATCCAAGAAGTTTTTATTAATCTGGTACTTGTACTTGTTTGAAATATTAATGTTGTTTACTATAATTTCAAGGGAAGTTGCTGTGTTAGTAGACCTATCTTGTCATTCAGTATCTGGAGGGGGGGGTACATGCTTGAGGAAAGAGAACAAGCTAGCCCCACCTCCTTCATCCTCATTTTGAACATAGAAAGCAGCACAATACTCCTCAATTTGTTAAGATTCTTGATGTTTAATTCCCCCATGTTTTGGTTTATGTCAGGAACCTTCATAGACCGAGTTGTCTCCCTTCTTCAGACTTGTCACTTCATGTGAACAAAATAATGACAAAGGAAGCAGCATCCAAACGGACTGGGTTTTTATTGCAACAAAAACAATAAAGAGACTTAGAGACTGTTTTTATTTGGCACTACCTTTCACAGTCTCAGGAAGTTATCATGCTCCTGGAGAAACCTTTAGTCATCAGCCTTCAGAAAACTTAGGTATGGTCCAAGCAACCTGGGATTAACCTTGAAGGTTACAACTGCTGAAGGAATCCTGCCATCAGATTAGCTAAATATGATTGACGAAGCAGGGACCTCATTAAGTAAGTGCCTTATAAATTCAATTTAAAATTTCACCCACAAACTCTAAATATAGTTCTGGTGTATCTGAGGGGAATGGGGTGAGAACAACTCAATTGAAGGTGCTGCTATAAAATTGATAGGAGATTTAAATGCCCATATTAGCTCAAATGAAGAGGGTCTTCAGAGTATTTCTAATCTGCATAATCTACAATCTCAATAAATAAAATCCCTATAAATACAGGTAGGGAGCATAATGTAAATAATACTTATGACATAACCTTCTATAACAAAATTATGAAATAAATCTTTATACTGTATTCTTAATGATAATCATCCAAAATGATAAACCTGGCAATATAAAAACAATTTTCCAGCTGCTGGGGCAGTGTTTTTATTATGCAGCGGTGTCAACTGACATACTTTATCAGCAGTTTTAAAGTATACTGCGTTCCTGAGAGTAATCACTACTCTATTTGCTTGATGTTTATGGCAACTTTTAAGGTGTTTTTGTCCCAGGAGAACACTAAGAATAACTTAAATTCTAATCTCAATAAAAGAATTAGCTGGTCAAATCAAGAAAAGCAAATGCTGGAAATATTTTAGGATGAGAAAGGCTTACAAATATGTACTCATAACTTAGATCATGAGAATGTTAGAGTAATCACTACTCTATTTGCTTGATGTTTATGGCAACTTTTAAGGTGTTTTTGTCCCAGGAGAACACTAAGAATAACTTAAATTCTAATCTCAATAAAAGAATTAGCTGGTCAAATCAAGAAAAGCAAATGCTGGAAATATTTTAGGATGAGAAAGGCTTACAAATATGTACTCATAACATAGATCATGAGAATCTTATTACAGTGGTGCCTTGCACAGTGACATTAATCGGTGCAGCAAAAATGGCTGCTAAGCGATTTCATCGTTATGTGATTTTAAAAAGCCCATAGGAATGCATTGAAACCCTTTCAATGTGTTCCTTTGGGCTTAAAACTGACCTTCAAGCGAAGATCCTCCATACGGCGGCCATTCTGGCTGTCCAGAAAGGGAGGAATCCGTACCTAAACACAGCGGGCGGCCATTTTTTTACCCCGGCAGCCATTTTGGAACCGCCGATCATTTTGGAACCGCTGGGGAAAAATCATCGCTTTGCAATGATCGGTAAGCAAAACAGGGAACCGATCATCGCAAAGTGAAAAAACCCCATTCAGACCATCACAAAGCGATCGCAAAAGCGATCGCAAAATCTTCATCGCTATGCGATTTCATCGTTAAACGGGGCGCCCGTTAAGCGAGGCACCACTGTATATAGTTCTCTGAGATTTTGTAGACGTTATAGCCCTATTCCTTAAGAATAGGATTATGTATACTAAAGCCATTTTTCCTGGTTCGTTTGACATGGGATGCAAGCAAACTAGCTAAATTAAAATTGCAAGCAACTGCAAAATTAGCTTTGAGATTCAAGTCTTGAGACCAGTAACTTTTTACTGTCAACTACTAAGTAATAATATGAAATTTATGAACTAGAAAAAGTTCCTTTATATAAGATCACAATGGGATGAACTTCAGACAGCACTGCCAAGCACAGACCTGAGGAGATAGAAATTGATTCATTTGTAATTTTCCACTATCAGTTGAATCAAATATTCTTTCATGTGCATGGGAAGAGCATTTTTGAGATCAGTTCAATGATTCCACCACTGAAGGCTACTAATTAAATTCTAATTTTGAAGGTAGTACATAAAATATAGTTGAAAGGAAACAGTTGCCACAATAGGATTTGGTTCAAATTAGCAAAAATTGTGAAATTATTATTACTTTAAAGAATGGGAAGGGGCTGTTTATCATTGAGGCTGTTTATAAAGTGGCATCAAAATGGTGGGCCATCATTCTTTTTATTAAGAGAAATGAATTACAGTGGCCATCTTCCTCCCCACTGGTACATTAGTACTGTGATTCCAATACTTTCAAAAGCTGATTCCAACATTTTCTCTAAAAATCTACTCTAAGTATCTACTTAAAAAACTGAACTGCTAGCTTGAATCTACGGATCTGGGTGTCAAAGGAGGAGGAGGTTTCAAAATAATCACTCAGCCTTGGACCACTGTTTTGTTCACTCTCACTTTGTCAATAATACATAAAATGAAGCAGATACTTATTCATTGACTTGTGTTTGTGTCTCTGTATTATTTAGTTTGTTAGTGCGTATCTTTTTCATCTTGACCAAATCTGCAATTTACACATAAATCATTTGTTTGGGGATATAATTACTTACCTAAACTCTGCTGTTGCTGTAAAAGATTCAGGCTCAGTTATAGAGAAAACCAAAAGAAAACCCTCTCCACTACGGAAGTAGTTGTCTCGAATAGCTGCATAATCTTCTTGTCCTGCAGTATCCAGAATATCTATCTGGACTTCCTCACCATCAAGAACAACTTTCTTTCTGTAACTATCAGCTTTAGTAGGTTCATAGTCTTCAACAAACTATGGAACAGAACAAGAATAATTAAAGTGCAGTATCTATCATTTTTCTTCCTACTATGCTTCCCTTAAAGGTTAATCACTATTTGTTAAAAATACCTCTAAACTAGAACCACTGGGCAATAGCAAGAAAAGTGTTGGGTCATTTATCATATTACCAGTGGAAGCTGCTGGGGCCAAAATTACAAAAAAAAAAAAATTTGACCATCCAAGTCATTCACATGCGGAATAAATAAATAAATAAATAAAAATTGACCATCCAAGTCATTCACATGCATCTCCCACCTTAGGAATAGAATACAGTGGTACCTCGACTTACAAACTTAATCTGTATTGGAATTAAGTTTGTACATTGAAAAGTAAATCGAGGCAAACTTTTCCATAGGAATGCATTGAAAACCATTTAATCCGTATCTGCTGTTTTCTGTTTGTATGTTGAGGCACCATTCGTAGGTAATGCAGTTCCCATAGGAACTAATGCAAAGCCATGTAATCTGTACTCTACCACTAGGGGGCAATTTTTTTATTACTTCTTTTTTTGACCTAAGGTGAACTTAGGTCAAAAAAAGGCAGGGAAGGTTTTTTTCCCCCCTTTTTATTCATACGTTGAGGCTCTGTTCGCAGGTCAAAGCAACTTTTTGTGAACGGAGCCATTCGTAACTCAAATCATCCGCAAGCAGGGATGTTCATAAGTCGAGGTTCCACTGTACTATCCATATACTGTACCTCTTTAGGAAAAAATGATCCTTTATACCATAAGCAGAAGCAAATGAAAATTAAAAACACATAAATTGCCGGGGGGGGGCAATATAACTAAATTTTGTAAGGCAACAGTTTCATTTATACATGTTATCAGGCAAGGGGCATTCCTTTCCTTTTCATTGCTTAGTGGTTACTCTGTAACAGATTATACCTATCGTCTTATTTCTGTTTATTAAGGTTGGTCAAAACACACACATTTTGAGAAGTATGAAGTGCTCTTTTTAATCTTGAGCAGCTACGTGCTTGATGAAGACACTGAGGGAAATGAGTCATTAACAGGTTGCCATTGTGTATTTGCATATTTCTGTCTGCAGCAAGGTGTTTAAAGTTTCTGAAGTTTTGTAGTGGCTTTGAATAGACACTGTGCACCGATTGTATACTTTGGCATTTATAATGTTGTTAATATAATAGGCAATATTATCGGTGCCTGTGGTCTAATTATGCATTTAAACATTATACATTGTATTACTGTTATTTTTGAACGTTTAGTGAGCCAGTAATACTGGGTGAAATCTCCAGATTTGAAAAAATTAGAAAACACATCTTAACTAAATTATTATATCAACTTTGTTCACTGATTCATTAACAGTTTTAGCAGACCTGTTATAATCAACAAATATGGCCAACCAATGATGCAGAAAGTGACGGCAAGAAGAACAAAATCCAAACCTTTTTTCTCTTCCTGAAACTACTTACTATATACTAATAAAAGCCATGTTTATTTTAAACAAGAAGGCAAAGTAAAGGCAGCTCAGTGACAATGCTACCATATGCCATTATTCTGCAATTTGAGGTTATAAATAGAAGACAAATCAATAAAACCATCTTACCTCATCATACATAAACTGAAGTGTAAGTGCTGATTTGCCCACACCTCCACTACCAACCATGATTACTTTGTGGAGAGCCAGAGAACTCTGATTTTTTGTTTTATTAGCAGCCATTTTATTTGTGCTGTTGTCAGATTCTGCAAGAGAAGTCCAACCACCTACAAGGCAATAAACACAAGTTGCACTTTACTGAATAAATCAAATACTCAATTTTTAGAATCAGTACAGAGATGTCTCATCATTCTTTGGTATAAACCACAGAAAGGTAAGTGTGGCCACTCAGATGTTTCTGATCTCCAATTCCCATGATCCCTTACTACTGGATAACGTAGCTATGGCCTTGGCCACTTACAAATCTGGAGGGTCACAGCTGCCATGATTTAAGATTTTAAAAACTGATTTTTTAACATTTAATCATAAAAAAAAATCAGATTTTAAAAATTTTAATTGTGATTTAAATCAAATCCACTCTGTTACAACCACCTCTGCAGATCTTCACCACGAAAAAAAGGCCTGCTTTACTTTCAAATGGAATAGGAATTTGAGGACAGTGCTTACATATCTGCCCACCACCTATTTAATACTGTACTGTACTGTACATTTTCAGGCATAATGCTTGGGCATCACTTATTTGGACTGAGTTTTTATGTCAGGCCAGAAATGTTGTGATCCCCAATCTGCTGTAGCACAGTAGAGTGATGGACTAAGATTCATGTGGCCTGGGTTGGAAGCCCTGCTCTGACATACTCTGACGGTCTGGAACTGATAAAACCACTCCTGAAATGTCTCAGTTACCTTGAAATCCCTATTAAGGTTGTTATATGTTGGTTCTGGGCTGAGGCTCAAGGCCAGGTATGTTTGCATGGACATTTTGCTGAGTTTTTTTTTTCTGGGCTATCTTTGGGTCTCCCCCACTGCATGGCCTGGGGGTGGGGCCTAGGGGATGGGGTTTTCTGCTTTAAATGAGTGTGTCCCAGGACCCTGGGCCCTTTTCCCTAGGAAGCTGGGCTGAGGCTCAAGGCCAGGTATGTCTGCACGGATATTTTGCTGAGGAGTTTTTTTTTCTGGGCTTTCTTTCTCAAATTCTCTGATTCTATCTCTGGCCCTAATATGGTAAATAGGAAAGCCAATTAGATTTGCATACACCTGGGAGGCAGCAAAGTTTTAAGGGTTGGATCATACTTCCGCATTATTAAAGAGCAGGCCGGGTAGGTGGGGCTGGTCAGCCATAGAAGGCAGCCTTTCTAGGAGAACTCTGATTTCAAACCTCCACTGCCTTGTGGCTATATCCATTCATGGAAAAGGCTTCAGGAGTTAACCTAGAGGCAAAATCTGGAGCTGGAGTCCCGAAGGCAGTTTGTGTCGTTCTGCCAACTCCTGCAACACTGCTGGAACCAGTTGTATTGGCTCTTGCCTTTCCACTGAACCATTTCAGCAATGTGGAGCGGTGGGATCTGCTGATTGGGTAACAGCCCATCCTCCATATTACTTTACCCAGGCTTCATGCTCTAGAGAGGACACTCCTCGATTCAGAGCATGTTACCATAGTCTCTCGAGACTGAAGGATGCCTATGTATGACTTGACAGCACATAACAAAAATACTGATATTCACTAACACCAGACTTTCCCATACTGTGTGACACAGACTAGGAAGTCAAGTCTCCTTCATGTAATACTATCTAGATGGTTATGGATCCTAACAACCTTCAATCCACATCACAAGTGCTTAGAAGTATCAGATACATTTGAAATGCTTTCCTGCCGCTTTGTAAGCATTTACTCTGCACTGAGTCAATTTTATATTTTCTTTAAAGAATGGGAATTTTCCTAAGACACTTCCCATTTTCTGAAGCTGTGCTAAAATGAGAAGCCCGCAAAGTGGGTAATCATGATTAGACATGGGGACGAAGGGCCAAAATGGACCGTGGCCCAACAAACCACAAATCAATTTGTCAAGTCATTTTTTATGCTGTGTGGCATAGGAAGAGGGGAAAGGGATCAAAGTGATCCCCCAGCCCCGCTGCCTTTGCAAAGGCAGTGAGGCTGGGGGATGGCTTGGTTCGGGCTCTCCCCCTCTTCCTATGTCCCACATAGGAAGACTGGGGGTCTGCGGGGCATAGAAAGAGAGGGAAAGCCTGACCCAAGCCATCCTCTGGCCCCAGGGGTGGGAGTCCCTTTGGGCAAGCTTTAGCAAGCCGCCCAAAGAGAAAATCCCTCTCTGCTTATGCCCCTGAGGAACAGCTGATCCACGGGGAGGGGGCATAAGCAGATAGGGAATGAAGGGATGAACATAAAAGGGGTCTCTGGACTCCAAGAATAGAAAGCAATGAATATCTGACGAATTAGGGATATTTGTTGAATATCCCTGATTTGTTTTTACATTCATCCCCATGTCTAATCATGATTAGGTAAATGAAAGCAATCAGAGAAATACACTACAGTATTTCAGCACAGGCTTAAGTCCAGGTCATCAGGAAACATTAAAAGGTTTGGGGCATCAATTTTAAAATATTCAAAATGGCTTCAAGAGCTGAAATTTTCAGAGCACTTTCCCATATTCTGCTTTGTGCTGAGATGCAATTTTTATTTATTTATTTATTTATTTGTGCACAGTGAGAATTTATTTATTTATTTATTATTTTATTGGACTATTCTGGGCAGCAGATGCAAGCTCAATCATTTTTCTCACTGCACTTGACATGCAGCTGGTGTTCAATGGCTTTCTCCAGCTAAAAAGCAACTGAAAGCGACCATTCTTTAAGAATAGAACCCAGGCCTTTGGTCTCTTACAGACAAAAACAGAACTCCTTTGTGAAGTCCTTCTGGCACCTGACTGCAAAAACTGGCTTAAATTGAAGATAAATCACAAATTGCAACAGTAAGATGTTGAATTTTATATGCTCACAGTGTACAGATGACTTAAGATTCACTAACCAACCAACTATGAAGTCACACAGGTGCCATATTTTAAGTAACTCATTCATCATCACATTAGAACTGCAGAGCTGGAAGGGACTTATGGATCATTGAGTCCAGCCGCTGTCAAGGAGGCACAGTGAGGAATCGAACCCCAAACTTATATTTGGTTGTTGTACTAAAATTTTAGTTTTATAACTTATAAAAGGTTGTTTAAAGATTAATGTCCTCAAGGTGTTAAAGTGACAATCCAGGACATTTTTCTGATAAATATGTTTCCCAGTGTTCAGGAGAGGAGAACACCCTATTACTACTAATTTCCCATACATTATAAAATACATAGGCAGTAAGTATCATTCATTTCATATCAGTCCTTGTCTACTTTCAAGCCACCCGGCATATAAAGATCATATGAGAGTGGGGCATTAGGCTCTGTTCACTCTGGGCATTTCGGATCTGCAGAAGACAGTTTCCAAGGCCATGAGAAATATAATCCTCTGAGAAGGGATGTGACTGACTGTGACTATGAAATAGCTAGCTGCACTTTTTAGTTATCATGATAAGCAGGATTGAAATATAAACCTTACAAGATTTTCAAATACATAAGTGAATGAGAAATCTACGATGTGTTGTGATACTCGCATCATCATGAAGTTTCAATATATCCATTATTACAGACTAAATGTGCATTTGCATGCTATGGTCATGTAAGCCATAATGTAACTTAGAGCTTGTCTGCATGGGCTCCTTGGAGCAGGATAAATAGGGTTGCTAGAGATAAAGTTGTGGTCTGCTATGCCACTTAGTACAATCTTCATGTTCAAATTAATAGTGGAAGGTTCACATTGGTTCATTTCTAGTTATTACAAATGCTGGAAACAAATCAAAACAGAGTAATATTTCTAATAGTGGAAGGTTCACATTGGTTCATTTCCAGTTATTACAAATGCTGGAAACAAACCAAAACAGAGTAATATTTCCCACTATAAAAGTAGAACCCCTTACAGGGACCCCAAAAAATGCTGGTAGGAATGCTCTCAAGGCGGGCTGATTTGCTATAGCCAAGACATTGTGCAGTCACCAGCTTTAGGAGTGACCCAGCCTGCGCTCACAGCAGACTGAACACCTAAATGCCTATGTTATGCACCCTCTTAGTGTGTTAAGTTACAACACCAACCATTTATTGAAGGTAGTATATTAACTCCGAAGCAAAAGCCCTAAACATATACTAGCAATAGTTCACTTTCATTCCCTGTATTTAGCAACATGACACTTTCCAAATGTAAGGCAGAGGTAAACAGCCTGTAATTATTCAAGAGTGCATTATTAAAATTAAACATTCAGGTGCAGGTTGTAAAGCTAGAATCACGCTGTAAGTACAGAATTGTTAAAGATATATGATCACTATTTGTTATTATTTGTTACTTTATGATTTTGTGAAACAGCTACGTATTTCCAATTGCTCACTCACTTCTTGCTGCTCTGTCTAAAGAAGATCCTACTTTTGCTTCTCTTCCCACATCACTCAGCCTTGAGCAAATGTCACAATGTTCAACCCCCCTAAGGCATTATGTTTTGCTAACTACAGGAATATATAGGTAAAGGTAAAGGTTCCCCTTGACAATTTGTCCAGTCATGTCTGACTCTAGGGGGCGGTGCTCATCTCCGTTTCCAACCCACAGAGCTAGTGTTTTGTCCAAAGACAATCTTCTGTGGTCATGTGGCCAGTGCGGCTAGACACGGAACGCCATGACCTTCCCACCGTTGTGGTACCTATTTATCTACTCACATTTTGCATTCTTCATGCTGTCAAACCGCTAGGTTGGGGGGAGCTGGGACTAGTGATGGGAGCTCACTCTGTCGCGTGGATTTGATCTTACAACTGCAGGTCTTCTGACCTTGCAGCACAGAGGCTTCTGCAGTTTAACCCGCAGTGCTACCATGTCCCTATTATAGGAATATATACATTAGAACAAATCCAGACAATTTTATCTATCTTTACATTTCAGTTTTAAAGAGAAGAATATCTTCTATATCTTTCAGTATTAGGACTCATACGTGAAGCCATTTGTGTCTTTACCCACTCAAGAATTCATCTGAAGCCAACGTAAAAGAGACCTATCTTAATACAACCCAAGTCCTATTTCTGAAGTGTTATGTGCTCCAAGAAGCTCTGCACATACATCCCACTCTCCCAAAATGCGGTTCTGCTTTAAATGCAAATTCCTTCCTTAAGCCAGAAGATAAAAATGCTGAGCAATATTCAGAAATACCTGCATCTTCTCAAATTAAAAATCCCACACACAAAGTGCTGTTGCCACGGCTACATACTATCATGCTTTATCTCTTAGGACCACAATACTATTCACTGAATCTGAAGAAAAACACTACTTTTTTGTGTGTGGGCATGAACATTCAAGTCTGTTCAGTGACCAAACCTAGAAGTTAGGGCAATACCTGCTCACTGCTCACTTGTTATGCAATCAGAACTGGTATCTAAGAGGAAAAACTAGTTTATATCAAACCATCAACACTGTGATGGAGCTGTGTTCTTGAAATATTCAGTCTAATAGAAGGAATTGCAGAGTAGCAGTCCAACCAAGTTTCTGTCTGCAACCATTTTTTTCTTCAAAGAAATTGCATACGATTAATTGGCCAACAAGTAAGCTATTTGGGGGGGGAGTACAGTTTTTCCCAGTGTATAAGATGATACTTTTGTCTAAAATCTTTAGACTAAAAACTGAGGACCGTCGTATACACGGAAGTAAGCTGAGAACAAAAGCAAGTTGAGAGGAAAGCAGGGATCAAAGAGATCATGCAGTGCTTTGATCCCTTTTCCCCTCCACTTGCTAAGCCCTGCTTAGATTTTTTAATTTTGGGTTAGAAAAGTGGGAGGGGCATTTTATACACAGAAAAATACGGTATTCTCAAGCCTGAAATATCATAATGAATATGGAAAGACTTTCAAAAAGATCAACCCTGAATAAAAAAAATTAAATGTAAATCAGCAAAATCAAGCAAAATATTCACTGCAAAAGTACCGTATTTTTCGCACCATAAGACGCACTTTTTTCTCACAAAACAGGGGGGTGGAAAGTCTGTGTGTCTTATGGAGCAAAGAAAACAGATTATATTTTCCTGTTTTCTTCTCCTAAAAAATTGGTGCGTCTTATGGAAAGGTGCGTCTTATGGAGCGAAAAATACGGTAACTAAATGTAGATCAGGCTTCCTGAACCTGCCATACAAGTGATGTGCAATATGGGTTGGACTACAACTCCCACTGTTCCTGGACAGGAATGGACATTACTAGCTGGTGATGATGGGAGTCATACTCCCAATGTACTGTATCTAGAAGGTATCACATAAGATTGTTTCAGAACATATGATCCAATGTCTTATTAGTTATACCTGCAGGTGGTTTGTATCTAAATAGCAGATTGTCCAGGTTAAGAATATGACATAGGCATTTAGTGTTGTGTGCTAGCATGCAACAGTAAACATCTATGCTAACTTCCTGAATTGCAGTGCACTGGCAATATTTATACAAGGAGCATAATCATATATTACTACAGTGTCAGGGCTCTTTACCCAGTGGAAGCTCAATAGGATAGTGGCCACTAACCTGTATCCAGAGGGTACTCCAGTTTTAAACAATCTTCCACAGCATTTCTGTGAATAATGAAAAACCACTTGTGAACAGACATGAGAACTTCATATTAATCTCCTGAGGGAGACAAATAAGAAGTTGTCAGCACAGGTGGCCCGCCCGACTGGACCATCCCCTCCCCCAACCGAGCATCCACTTACTACTCACTGTGCAGCCAGCATCATCAAAAGCACATCAGTTGCAGCAGTAGTTTCGCAGGCGCTGCCTTGCCTTCCTGCTCGGCTGGCCGCCCAGCAGCTGAGCAAGGAGGCTCATCATTCCACCCTCTCACCGGAGTGGTCAGCTGAGCAGGGAGGCGGGGCAGAGCCAACTGAGCTACTTCCACTATTAGCATAGTTTAGATGATGCTGCCCTGCATGTTGAGTGGTAAGTGGACACCTAGTTTGGAGGGGATTTCCATGATCACTGGAGCTGCAACCCAGCCCACAGTAATCTTGCTCTCATTAATGGGTTCCCTTCTATCCATGGCTGATCCTGGAAACCCGCAGATACAAGGGGGACTACTGTATGTACACACTGAGTAACAGATCAACTAAAATTGTTCCACTATTTCACCAATTCCCTCTTCTTACTGCTGTTTTCTATCTGATGGGGACGAATGACAAAGCACGAAACTCGCCCCCCCCCATGAACTGATGAAGCATGAATTTATGCATCAATTTGTGGGGGAATATAGACAGCCAGAGGTTGACCAGGAAAAAACCCTGCCCACCTCCACCTGCCACCACATGCCCTCACCGCAGTCTCCAGCTGGCCTCCGTCACTATGGCCTGCAGTAACGGACACTGGTTGCCCTTTGTAAAGATGGTGGCTGTGGCTTCATTTAGGGTAGGGAAGCTGCAGCCCCAATATTTGCAAAGGTCAGCCTGCATTCCCTTAAGGCAGGCTAAGGGAATCCAGGCTGCCCTTTGCAAAGATGGCAGAGGCCACCGCAACCGGCTGCGATGGATGTCAGCGGTGCCGGATGGTGGCAGCGGCTAAGGTTGGGAGAGGAAGGGGACAGAGGATAGGCTGTGGGTGGCTACCTATCAGCTGATCAGCAGGCCCATAGGCAGAATGGGAAGGCCATAGGCTAGCCTTCCCTCTCTACCCATGGGAGATAAATAAAAATGGGGCAATATTCATCCTTCGTATTCGTCTGGGTCTCTGGAACTGACAAATATGAAAGGAAAAATATTTAATGAATCAGCAATTTTTTTCAAATAGCGCGGTCTGTTTTTATTCACCCCCATGTGTAATCTTATGCATTTCTCATGAACCCTCAGGAGATGGAGCTTACACTAGAATGATGGAGAAGAAAGATGCTTTGTACATATTACTTCTGTGTGCATGAATTCTGGATTCCTAGTTTCTTTAACTTTACATTAAAGTAGCAGTAATGACAAGAATCATTAGCAACGTTCCGTCTAATTTTCTGACTAGCACTGGGTTCCGTCTAATTTTCTGACTAGCCCTGCCCCACACAACCACAACCAAATGGATGACAACACTGGCTCCAAGTGCACAGCACTGATGCAGTGCTGCATGGCTGCACAGCTTAGAGAGACTGTTGGCTGTAAAGCTATATTGATCCCTATAGCCTGCCTTCTTATGCATATGAACACAGAGATGTTTTCCTTTACCAGTTTCATGGGAGAGAATGTTCATACCTTTTCTCTGCCAGGATACAGGCAATAAGAACTCCACAAAGTCCAAAATACAATTAGGTTCCTCAAACAAATGAATTAGGGCCATAAGCCCTGAACTTAGTTTGCTCATTCAGAACTTAGTTTGCTCCTTATAACTTATATCTAAACAAAAAGTTCTGCCATGCCAAATGTGTGGCCTTTGTGGTCCAAATGACATGGCCAATATTTCTATATTATGTAAGCACTATATAACTCAGACACAAAAACCAAACCATTCTGGAAAAATGCCACATACCTTTTACATTATAAAAGCTCCATTCAGTAAAAACCCAATGCATTATTTATTTATTTATTTATTTGGCTTTTATACCACCCATCTTGACGAATCTACTCTGGGCAGTTTACAGTCCAAAAAAAGGCAATAAAATTAAATGCAAGCTTATCTAAGGAGCATGAATTTCAAAACAGAATACTTGATTAAAGTGAACCTACCCTAAATAGACATAGCCATTTTAAGATATAATGCAATGTGCACTAGTATAGTGTTAACACAACTGCCACCACATTCTCTGGAAGAGCTAGAGCCAATGCAGCACTGAAATGCTTGGCAGTAACATTTGTTTATCACACAGTTTCCAGTGACATGTAGTGGACAGAAACAGACATTTAGAAAACACTTTTGTTCCTAATATATTCAAAACTTCCTTGAAAATATGCCAACGGAGGCTGTTACTAACTTACTACAATTTGAAGTGGCAGCAATGACAGATCTATTAGTGGTAAGAAGTCTGGATTTATTCCACTTTTCTTTTATCATTATGCATTCATTAGCTGAAGTGAGCAGCAATCATAAAGAAAAAAATCTCATGTACGATCTGAAACTAATGTTTTTTCTGGGGGTTGCTAGTATCGGATGTTTTAGCTATAAGTATCTTAGAAAAGATACTCAGTAGAAAAGATACTAAGTAGCTAATATTTATTATATAGTCAGTCACTGAAAACCAATGTAACTCGCTATATGCATTTGCAGCTGCAGAAAACATCTAAATACTAAGTGTCCAATTAGCAATGACTCAATGTTTGGCTTCTATCACATGTTCAGTTAAATCTGTATGCATCATGCCTTCCCAAATGCACAAAGGAGGGTTTGAAGTCAGTATGGCAAAACTTAGATTTACAGGCAGTATTTCAGGCTTTATTTCAGTCAGAAAGTAAGAGCTCTTCAGGCCCCAGTTTTTGTGAACATGGCCAAGCAAAGCGTGCTGCTTATATAAAGCAAAGCATGCTGCTTATATACCACCCCATAGCACTTCAAGCACTCTCTGGGCGGTTTACAAGTTAATTATGCAGGCTACACATTGCCCCCCCAGCAAGCTGAGTACTCATTTTACTGACCTCGGAAGGATAGAAGGCTGAGTCAACCTTGAGCCGGCTACCTGGGATTGAACCCCAGGTCGTGAGCAGTTTTGGCTGCAGTACAGCAGTTTAACTACTGCGCCACGAGGCTCATGGCAAGAATCTTTCTGCTCCAGCCTAGTGATTCCTTCACTTGCCTGTGCTGTTCATAGCTCAATACTAACATTAAGCACTTGTACAGTACTAGCTGGTATGCCACAGCACCTAGATTGGGTCAAACACGATAATGGCAACATGAAGCCCAGTGCTTGGGAACTACAACTAAGAGAAAGACTGCCATTAAAATACACATTCACACGGATCCAAAGATCTCAATAAATATGCAACAGTAGCAAATTAGTTTTCTTCACTCAACATTTCAGATTAAATTTCATACTATGCACTGTAAGATAGAACTGCAAGGGTTTTTTGCCAAGGATGTGCAACACAAGTATAGATATACCCTATGTTATCCTATCCAGTTTACGGCACCCAAAAATATGGCATGCTCAAGTAATCTGTAATAGCTACTCACCAAGTTATGTTGAAATAAAAGGGAGCCATGTGGTCAATGTAAAATGCTAATGCAAGAACAGGAAATGCCTCTATAGACCACTAAAAAAATCATAACAGTGAGTTTTTCAAGTTTATGACTTAAGGTATTTCTTAAGGCTTTTTCTTTGTGGATGCAAGACGATCACACAATACCAAAAATAACAGAATTCATAACAATCCTGCCCAAGTTTGCCTATAAAGCAATAATTATGTTTCATAAGGCCTTCTGGCAATCTTTTCCAGAGTTTTCTAGGTAGAAAGTACTCAGAAGTGGTTTACTATCCCCTTCTTCTGGAAGCAACCTGTTTGTCTATGCCCTCTTTGAATTTGTGCTGTACTCTCAGAAAGCTTCTAAACACCCTTCACAGAACCAAGATTACTACTGGCCACAGCAGCTTGCCTTGATACTCAGAAAACATTTCTTTTCAGCATTAAAGATGGTGGTGAAATATTTCAACCTAGAAATGGTAGGTGGGGGGAAATAACACAATAAACATGGTTGTTCTGGGTTTTTCGGGCTCAAATGAGTACAGGTTGCTGTCCTCTGAAGATGCCAGCCACAGAGACTAGCGAAACGTCAGGAAGAACAACCTTCAGAACACGGCAAAAGAGCCCGAAAAACCCAGAACAACCATTAGATCCCGGCCGTTAAAGCCTTCGCGAATATATTCAACACAATAAACACTTTGTATGTGGCAAGTCTCTCTCCTCAATCTTCTGCTCTTTCCACCTGCATTCCAAGCTCCAAAATTAAGTACTGTACAGTAGTTATAAAGCAATCTGCTAGATGTAACCAAAGTTCCCTTTTGGTCCATCCTGTTTGCAGGATGTCTGCAACACAAGATTACAGATAACACTTTCAAGTGCTAAAAGTACTTCTCATGTGCTTTGCAATCCTGAAATTTCAAACAGTAAGCCTGACAAGAACCATATAAAAAAATTAAATCAGCATTACTATCCCCCTGTTCCGAACGTTTTTGGGGAAACTCGGGTTGGGAATGGTGAGTCAGTATTACTATCCCTCATATTGCAAACCGGGGGGGGGGGAGGGAACTAATGGGACAAAAAGTTACTTTCCAAGGTTACCTAGCAAGTCAGGAGGACTATGAGCAAAAACTTCTCTAGTCTTAGCTATATTACACCAGGTGTCAACCATTAAGTCAGGAAACCATTGCTTATTGTTATTCCTTGGCACCTAATTAATTTTTGAAGGTACACTGCCCCTGAACAAGGGGGCTTCATGATCCATGTAATCAGGCTGTGGCCCAATAAACTACATTTGACTGACAATCTTTCCTACAATCGGCCCCAGTTTCTGTAGCCACCCTAATATACTTCTAAAAGCCACAGTGGGCAACTGGTGCTCCCCACAAACGAAATCTCTCTTGACTTTTTCCCCTTAAGCAACCCCCCCCACAGGCATGTACTGTAAAATAAAGATAAAGAGCACATATTTTAAAATGCCGCCACTGCGGAACAGAAATGGGGAAGAGCAGGAAAGAGAGATCCACCCGCCTTAATAATTATATCAATTAAGGAATCCCGCTACTTATTGGAATTCCTGCGCTCATCTTTTAAAAAAAGAAAAAAGAAAAATTCCCACTAGCGGTCAGCAGCCGGGCTTCCCCCCGCCTGTCGTGGTCCACCCAAAGAAAATCAGAGGACCGGATGGAAAAAGAAAGAGGAAGAAAGAACTCAAATCCTCCTCCTCCTCCTCTTCTTTCCTTCCCCTTTTTCAGTTAGCAACAGCCGCCGTCCTTCCCTTCCCCTCAGAAGACGGCGGTTGGGAAATACCTCTTGTCCTCTCTACCGGACACACAAAGAGAAAAGACGACAATGAAATATAAATTTTTCTCTTCTCTCTTGCTCGTTCGCTCGCTCTTTTTTTTTTTACCTGAGGCGGATGAGCCAGACAATCTCCCTCACTCGCGGTCCGGCCGCTTTAAGCGCCGAAACCTTCGCTTTCTTTCGGGCGGCGGCGGCGGCGACAGCAAGAGCAAGCCCATCGCGTGCGCATGCTCAGCACAGCCCCAATAAGATGAAAGCGCGACCCCGCGCTCCCGGCGCGCGCGCGTCCCCACCCACGTCGTCAAGGGCGCGCGCGAAGCATCTCGCGCACCCCCCGTTGCGTCCTCTCCTCCAAGCCCTCGCGTTGCGCGCGCAATCCTCCTCAAAACGCTATGAAGCGCGCGCGCTCGTCAGTTTTTTTATTTTTGTATATATTTTTTTTTGCGTCCCGTTCCGTTCCGTCCGTCCCCTCCCCAAATACCGCTTCCGCACACACGTGGCTTCAGCCGCCCATCTCATTCCCTAAATTACCTCCAGCACGTTTCTGGAAAGAAAGTGAAAAAGAAGAAGAAGAAAAGCGGTTCTTACCACATGTCACATCTTGCCCAATAGGAGGCAGGAGCAGCATAATTGGTGGAAATGAAAGTCGGTGTGTTAGTTGGAGCGGGTGGGTGGAAAAGGGTAGTGCTCTCTATAGTCTTTCTTCCCCCCCCCCCAGCGGACAGTATGTAGTTCACTTTTACGTCTGGTTTTTCTCATTGCCTCATCTTTGGGATGCCAAGGGGAGACGAAACGCAGTATACTGTGTTTATCTCAACATCCAAAACATACAGTATATCATTTGCTTTTCTGCCTATCGTCCTCTCACAAACAGGTGTGCCCTGATAGTGACTGGGAAAGTGAAGTACAAGTAACTTTAAATAGAAAATTTTATCATAAATGGAGAGCCAGGAAGAAGCTACTTTTTAGGACTATAACTTCCAGAATCTCTTAGCCAGCTTTAAAAAAAAAAGTATTGCAGAAAGATGTGTACGGTACTTCACTGGGATCTTCTCAGTCTTCCTGGCCTTGTAAGACGGCCATAAATAAAAAGGAACAAGGATTCGACAACTCTAATCATTGTTGAAAATAATGAATTTCTCTTGAGGTTTCTCCTGATTCTCTGTTCTACAGACCTGTTGAAAGGTTTCAAGAGCCCAGACACCTTTTGCAACTGGGCCCCCTAGCTATATGGAGGTTGAGATTAAATTTTGAACCTGAAACCGATAGATATCACAGTCTTTGAGAAATATCCTGTTTTATGGTGTGCAATTTTATGTTTTGTTTTCAAAGGAAGTGTGAAGGTTGAGCTGTAGTTCGTACTTAAAATATATTTTAGAATATCAGTATCAATATGTATCATATGTTTGTTGGTCCTTTTGAAAATGTAGTGGATAAGCTAGTCTTTAGTAGGTGAAACATGGAGCCATAGATGTACACACTAATGTTCAACCAGTGCTTCAGGGAGATCACAGAACTGGAAAGTACCTCAACATTCATCTAGACCGGTGGTTCCCAACCTCTTTTGAGTTGTGTGACCCTTTTTAAATATAAGAGCCAAGTAACTTTTGACACATTTGCATTAAAAAGCATTTTTATAAAATAAAGAAAACACATTAAAATAGATTTTCAGATTATACTTCTAACACAATTATGAGGGGGACTGTAAATCTGCCTAAAACAGATAAAATTTGAGAAGGAAAAAAAATTCAGTACACTTTGAGTTTAACTTACTTTTTTGGGTATGAAAATTACCCTCCCTCCATGTCTCCTTCCTCCCCCCAAAAGAACCCCATCAATGAAGAACCCCTTTTCCTCAAACCCAAATAAACACCTCCCTCACAGCCCCCCATTCCCCCCTCCCTAGTTTTCTTAACTCATTTTTTGCCCTCGTCTTCTTCCTCTATAACTCAGGTGGTGCCCAGAAGGATTTCCCTGCCCAGGTCCCCTTTCCCTTCACTTTGCCACCATTGCCACACCTAGAAGAGCAGGAGACTCAGATGGAGCAAAAGGCACCGCTGTCACAGGAGTTTAACTTACTTTTTTGGGTATGAATCTTGGGTGCCAGTGTTCTTGGCCTGTACTGTGTGGTCACCTCATCCAGGCTTCTTTCAGGCAGGCTAATGGCTGACATCAGTCTTCCAAAGGCAGATGCAGAGGAACAGCAGCAACAACTTTTCAATTCTGCTGCCATCTTGGGTGCCAGTGTTCTTGGCCTGTACTGTGTGGTCACCTCATCCAGGCTTCTTTCAGGCAGGCTAATGGCTGACATCAGTCTTCCAAAGGCAGATGCAGAGGAACAGAGAGAAATGAGTGAGAGCTTTTTTGAAGGGGCTGGGAGTGATGTGCATGTACAAAAGGAAAATTCATACTAAGAGGTAAAGAAGTACTGTACCTAAAAATTCTAGGCTACCTGCAATTCTGGTTCAGATTAAATTTATCTGTGAGCCAAGAGGATTTAAAAAATTACAGCATTCTGTATGCCATATTTAATATAATAAATATAAAAATAATTGTAACTAAAAACTGTGGCAACCCCAGAAAACACATTGTGACCCCCTTGGAGGCCATGACCTCCAGGTTGGGAACCCATGATCTAGACTAAACAGAAGATTAATCTGTTAATCCTCATATCACATTTCATTTTCTGCAGCTTTCACTCTACCAATCACTGCATTTGAAAAGGGGCAGAGAAGTGAGGCTAAAAATAGAAAGGTAAAAATTAACCCTTGGTAGCAGTATTAAATATTACTCCAATGTACAAAGGAGTAAATGCATTAAAAACAATCTGATGTGTCAGGTGGATGGATAGAAGCAAATGAGATTTTACCTGCTGCCTTCCTAAAATTACAGTATTTGCATTGGGTTGGAACTGTCATGGAGCACGAATCTTTAGGGGAAAACTTCCATTGTGAAAACACTGCAGCGCATTCCCCCCCCAATTCTTACTGTCCCTTTTCATGTGATCTGAATCCTGAACTGTCCCTCTGTTAAAAGTTTTTAAAATGCAGCATCAGATAGCTAGATCTGAACAGAATCTAGCATTTACTGTTTGTTTTTTAGTCAGAGATCCTTATTAGTTACTTGAAAAGCAAGGTAGATAGCTAGTAACTGTGGAAAAAGAGTAAAAGGGACTTTTTACAACATTGTTGTCAATACAACAAATACAGGATCAGTCATTGTATGGTCTGTTGCCATGCCTGATTCTGCTGTTCAGAAAAGAAG